CACGAGCAAAGTATTCGTTCAGGTACCCGTCGCCGGCGCATCAACCCACTTCGACCGCGCTCACTTTCCTTCCAATCGCGCGGCCGCACCGATGACCGTTTACACGCACTGGGCTCAGCCCGCTCTTCTCCGGATACATAGACTAACTACGTGATGTTTGTCGCGGTCCCCGACCTGAATACCCCAACGACGAGCTTATTCGTTGGGCCACGATCCCTCATTCTGCCAGCGAACGAAGTATGGGAGACGACCCTCCGCTCGATTGCTGCCGTCGACCGACCGACGAATGCATATAGAGATGCCGCAGCCGCGAACTGACGAATTTCGATCGCACGAACGATGTACGCACACAGGTATGCGGCACAGCCGCATGCTAATTGACCTGGAGCGCTTGACCCCTCTTCCTCGCGCCCAGTCCCTCATAGGTCCACATTCTCGCGAGGTCACCATACATACTTCGTTCGCCTCGTCCCCTCCCCCGCTTCGCCAGCTTGACATGCTGAGTCCCCCCCTTCTACCTCCATTCCTCCTCGCGTAGACATTTTTCGGTGCTCCGGCGCCACCGCCGGGCTCTCGTAGGGCCGTCCCCCGTGACGATTGACTGGCGCCTCGCTTCGCCTTGCCTCGCCTCGCCATGCACGCTCCAAGAGAAGTTTCCAGGAGCCGGTACGAACTTCTCACGTACTTCGCGACCGCCGCTCGAACTATCAAATTATATTTGCTGTTCGCTCCGCCCCAGGCTCATTTCTCCGCTGCCGAACGCGGTAGGCATCCCCTTGCAGCACCTCGCTATCACCGTACGAACATAACTCGCGTGCAAGTACCCCACAGCCGAGTACTCACTCGCCTCGTTTGCTGAGCTTCCCCTCCGGGTCCTTCTCCTGCCGAACGAGCGAAGTATCTCCCTCCACAAACTAGTTAATTTTGATCGTGCGAACGAAGTACGGATGCAGGAAGTGCACAGGCGCGTACGAACGAATCTCGCCCGCCAGCCTCCAACAGGGCCTCCTACTGCAGCACAACATGAAAGTACATCGACCCCGTAGTGGCGGATGAGAGGGAGGAACCAAGAGGGTGGTGGGTCGTCAGCTGTCTTGCCCGCTCCGCTGGGTCCACGGGGTTCGCCAGGTCCGCCGGGCCCGCTGGGTCCGCTGGGACCGCCATCCGCCGGGTCCGCCGCGTCCGCCAGGTCAGTCCGGTCAGTCGGGTCCGTCGGGTCAGCCGGGTCAGCTGGGTCCGCCGAGTCCGCCAGGTCCGCTGGGTCTTGCGGGTCAGCGGGGTCTGCCCGGGGCCCGCAGGGGAGTGGGTATATGAGCCGCGGCCCCTTAGCGCTGTGGCACCGGAGCCGGGGCCTGCGGCCGGGAGCCCGGGGCCGACCACCGGGCGCCGCTGCTGACGGAGGCCGGTGGCGCCTGCGGGGCAGGGACGGGCGCCTGCGAGCCGCTGGAGGCGGCCGCCGCCTCGGGGGCACGCGCGGGCGCGCGTACGCCATCGCTGCCACGAGAGGGGGGCCCGTGGGGGCCGCCGGCGGAGAAGTGCCC